AGTTTGCCATGGAGTACCTGGCCATCTGTGATGAATGCTATATCACAGAGCAGGAGAAACTCCTCAACGAGAATGGGTGAGCATCATCGCTATTAAAGGGGACATAGCATGAAAATCAGAATTTTCTGTGTTTAAGTGCTATAATCGGGTCCTCGGTGCATCTACCAACCCAGAACATGTAAAAAGTGACAACCCAGTAACTTTGTTTTGGTAAGCCTTTCTCTGCAAGGATGTCAAAAAATAAGCCAATCAGATTTGATTCTGTAGGAAGGGGATCTTATAATATTACCGCACCTTAATCTGCACGTTTCCACCCTCGACAGCGCCACCATTTAGTTTTCGCAAGCAACAACAGTGTAACCAGTTCTAACGCAATGGCAAAAGTTCGAGCAAAGCATGCAAACTGTTCTGTCGTTGCTGCACAGACGAGCACAGAACACTATTTGACCAAAAAATGTCACAGCTGTCTTCTAAAGACCTCAGGGAACTGTCAATTTGTGTTAAAGTTAAACATGACGGTATATATGCAAGTCGATGAGATGAATCAATGTAACTCCACAACAACTACATAAATGTGTCCACTACCCATTCAGAAACATCCAGGTGCAGTCTAAAAGTTGCAACGTCTTCCTGAGTCTCTCCATAAGGCTTCACTCCGCAACTTATTTATGAAATTTGACTGAAATTTGCATGTTTTGTTATTGCCAGAGTATCCAAAGCTTGTGTAAAGGATCTGCTCTCTTCTGAATGGGGGGGGGGGGGGGGGGGGGTGGGGGCGGGAAGCAGCAGCTCGTTTGCATTCAAAGGGATACACAAAAATGTCGTGTTTTGCTCACACCCAAAAAGGGGCAACTTTGACCAGCTATAATAAATGATCTAGGGGGTATTTTGAGCTGAAATTTCACAGACACATTCTGTGGACACCATAGATTTACATTACATCTTGTAAAAAGGGCCATAATATGTCATCTTTAAGAGTATTCTAAATTTTGGTTGCACTTTATTTGGTAACACTTAATTTCACAGTGTCATTTTTACATGTTACTGTAGTAATAACTATAAATTATTCAGAATTACACACAACTAACCCTAAACCAAACCCTAATCCTATCCCTAACCCTATAGTAAGTACATGTTACTTAATATTACTCAGTACTTAGATGTATAATTATAGTGTAACAAAGACACCTTAAAATAAAGTATAACCCTTTATTTTAAGGTGACGTAGTTACATTGTACTTACTCAAATAAGTACTGAGTAATATTAATTAACTATACGTTCTTACTATAGAGTTATGGTTATGCATAATTTACTGTTATAATTACTATAGTAAGTACATGTAGTAACATGTAACTACATCTCCTTAAAATAGTGTTAACAAAATGTTTAATGTCAATGACCCCCAAATATGAAGATTCACAATATAAAGGCAGGGTTTTTTTTGTTTATCAAAATGAATTTAATGAATTAAATATTATTACAATTTTAAATCACCTTTTTTCTAATATATTTCTAATGGCAAACATGTTTTTACAGCATCATTACTCCAGTCTTCAGTGTTACATGATTCTTCAGAAATTGTTCAATATGCTGATTTGGTGCTCAAAATTTAATTTTTTTATCACAGTTGAAAACAGTTGTGCTGCTTAATATTTTTGTGGAAACCATGATAAATGTTTTAGGATTATTTCATGAATAGAAAGTAATTTTAAAAAAAGCATTTATTTGCAATAAAGACATTTACAATGTTATAAAAGATTTCTGTCACTTTTGATCAATTTAATGCATCCTTGCAGAATAAAAGTATTAATTCCTTAAATTTAACTGTTCCCCAAATTTTTGAATGGTAATGCATAAGTTTATAATAATAATAATAATAATAAATCAATTAATAATTGGCTTTTATTTGTCTTAGTCCTAAAGTCAATGTACATATTTTTTTTAATTATTATGTTAACAGTTTTCGCCTGTCCAATATTAAAATATAAGGTATATTTTTATATGATATTGGTACTTTTTTGAATTACATGCAGTCAAATTCTTATTGGCTATTTAAAAAAAACAAGCCCTTTGATATGTCCCATCCCAGCTTCCTTTTTCAATAGGCAAAACTTTGCTCATCAAGTTATGTCATCGTTTTTTAAACCAATAGTGCCCACTAATATGATTCTGTTCATTGATTGGTTTCCTCTGTCACTGCAGTGAATTCACCATTGAGACTGAGGGCAAGACTTTCAAACTCACCAAGGACATGGTTAATGTCAAGAGGTTCCAGAAGACCCTGCATGGTGAGAGGCAGAACCTTACCTTTTATGTCAGCATAACAAGAATATGTAAAACACATAAATAAACTTTAACTTATCCACAGTTGAGGAGGTTGTTCCTAACGTGATCGAACCCTCCTTCGGCATCGGAAGAATCATGTACTCCATCTTTGAGCACACATTCCGTATCAGAGAGGGTGACGAACAGAGAACGGTAAACACATTGTGCTGTAATATTCGGTAATTAATATGTTTGTCTTGCTTTATTTATGAACTTTGCTGCTTTCTCTGTTCAGTATTTCAGCTTTCCTGCAACTGTTGCACCATACAAATGCTCCGTCCTTCCATTGAGCCAAAATCAGGAATTTATGCCGTTTGTTCGAGAATTATGTGAGTGATAACATCTCTATTTATAAAAAATCCATCAACGATATCGAAATAATATTTGTAATAACTTTGCTTCGCTCTACAGCTGAAGCCCTGACCAGGAATGGTGTCTCCCACAAGGTTGATGATTCCTCAGGATCTATTGGTAGGCGCTATGCCAGAACGGACGAGATCGGTGTGGCATTCGGTATCACCATCGATTTTGACACTGTTAATAAGACGCCCCACACGGCCACTCTGAGAGACCGTGATTCCATGAGGCAGATCAGGGCTGAGGTAAAGTCATATTTGTGTCTTCATTTCATTTGAGTGAGCGTTGGTGTTGACTATTTTGCTGACATGTACAACCTGTTTATTTACAGGTTACCGAGTTGCCCGAAATTATTCGTGACCTGGCCAATGGTGCCATCACATGGGCAGAGGTGGGAAGCAAGTACCCGATCTTTGAAGGCCAGGAGACCAGCAAAAAGGAAACGGTGGAGGAGTAGGCTTTCTATTTGTCTATATCATCTGCCTTTTCACTGGAGGCAGTCACAGACATTTTTACATCTGCATTCATAGGATCAAATTTATGGCAATTATAACGTACAACCAATCAATGTGTGCACCAGATGTTCCACACAACTGGAACCACTGTTATCAAGTACTCCTTTAAAACTCAAGGGAACTCTGTAAGGACCTAAGGATGACCGTAACTAGGTTACTGTACTAGTTAAAGGATTTCACCATTCCTGTTTGTGGGTTGATAAATGAAGACATGAATCGTGCATATGGTCAAATAAATCAAACCAGCACTTTCTGGACCTATAAGAGTGTGTTTGGTCAGTTTTTGTTTGATCAAGTGTGTGTTCAGCAAAAGATGCACTGAATTTGTTGGCCACGTGGGGGCATAACAGCTGCTAGATAGTTGATTGTATGGCTAAAATATTTTTGACTCAAAGCCTGCTCATTGTCCAACACACGGCTCCCTTGTACATGCTATTATGCTTGTATTTAAAATTATTTTTTTAAACGGAAACTGGGAGTATTGATATTTAACTAGCTGCGATTAATTTTGTGACTTTATTGTAATATAAATAAAATTCCATTCTTGATCTTGTTTTTTTTCTTTTGTAATATAGACCATTTTAATAAACTTAAAAGAATTAATTTAAGTACTTTTTATTCATCTTGAGGCTCCCTAGTGGGACTTGGGTTGAAAACCACTAGTTTTTAATGTTTCTCAGGACAAAGCTTGGTGATGTGGATGTTAGATATGTTAACATATGACATTGTTCTGCTTAAAAACTAAACTGCGGAACTGCCAGATCTTACTAAATTAAGTCATTATTGCTAAATCTGGTATTTCAGGTGTTTTTAATGTGATACACTAAAACATATGATCAATAAGTTATGACAACATGTTTTTACATTGTTTTACTTACATTTTATATATTTTTTACATACAAGTTAAGCAATTTTCACTTTTTTTTTATAAGTTATACAAGATTCAACTATTTTTTTTTTTAAAGTTTAATGCGATTAAAGTTGAAATGATTTAAATATACAAGTTGATTGTACTTGATTGGCAACAACTTTTTTTTTTTTTACAGTGCATAGACAATGGCTTAATTTAGAACTAGGTAACTAAGATTTAAGATGAGCTAAGATGAACATGTTTTATTTTTGGATGGAATGGTGTTTATTTAGGTTTGAAGATAGATAGGTGCCCCAGCCCAAATTGTCAAGCAAATATGATCATCCAAAAACAGCCTTGACCCTGACAGAAACAGGTGTGGAAGTGTGTGAATGTATGCCGGGGCTCCTGGCTTTTCTTAAAGGCTGTTAAACAAGTAATAGCCTAAAATACATTTCAGTTACATTCAGGGACTGTAACAGCGCTCTGTATTAGCAAAGAGCTCTTTAATAATATGCTAGGCTCATGCACAAGTGGTAGGCAGTGTAAAAGATTTGTCCAAGACCTTTATATACAGTAGCTTATATCTTATCAGAGTTTACTTTAGGCTACCATTACCTAACATGCCTTCTCTAGTTGACCCCTGACCTATGGGAAACCAGTGATTTCAGTCTTAACAAAAGCAAAACTTGATATTGCAAACCCATGCTTCTCAGGTAAGGTTTTATGTTTCATATATTTATTGTATATTTATATAAATGTTTCATAGCCTATAATGTTTCCTTTTATAATTGTGTGTATATATTTATGTTACATACTTTTTCTAACCCATCTTCTATTTCTTATGTAGGACATTCAGTATGCAAGCAATGGAGGTCCAAGCCTGTTTCTATTGATACAACATGGCACAATGGGTCCGCCCCCCAATGGGCAGCTTCAGATGAATATAAATACATCTCCTGTTCACCTTTAACTGTCCGCAACTGCCCAACAGGCAGTGTGTGCGCCCAACTGACACCTTGTAGAAACAGAGAGGATGCATTAGACTATTATTTTGCTGATCTTTTCTATACATTTTTGTGATTATTTTAAGTTCAAGTGGATTTTTCAGTATTTCAAAGGCCCTTTGGGTTACGGTGGCATTGCTGTGCTCAAGGTTAGTACAATAGGTGTTTCTAAAATCTGCTTGGCACCTCCATGCAGTGCATGACACGCTAACATTTAACCAAGTAATAATCTGCTAATTTACTAGCATGGTTCTTCAGGTGAAATCTCACAATAACAAACATCACAACAAAGCAGACCTTGTTATTTGAGTTTATGCCTTTAAATTATTAGAAGATAAATAGACAAAAGAATAATCTGCTGGTTAGAAAAGACAGCATTTGGCTGAAATGTAAAAGTGATGCTTCAGTCAATACAATGAGAGCAGAAAATAGCTTAGCTAAAAATAGCATGCTCTCACATAGTGTAGATGCTTCCTGCTCACACAATTCAAATCATTGGAAACTTCTGCCCTGCCCAGAAAGATCAAATTCTCAATAGTAGACTGTCTGCTTAATATCTGCAAACACTTTATTGTGATGATCCTCCTACAGACATTCTTCTGACTATAAGTGACTTTGCATGCACTTGTCAACTAACCCTAAACAATGTGTAGTTGCTAATTAATGAGAGTTAGTTGATGTATAGTACCTGCTAAGTTGCTTATAGTTAGTAGAATGTCTAAAGTGGACTGATGCAATTTATATTTATGCAGTTTAACAGACTTTTATCCATTTACAGATTTACAAACATTCACAGCATACATTTTATCAATTTATGTGCTCCCTGTGAAGCGAACCTATGACCTTGCTATTGCTAACGCCATGTTCTACAAGTTGAGCTACAGTAACATTGCAATATTTCTTTCATCCCATAGTAGATTACCAATTACCAAGGTATGTTTTAAGTAGGATCTTAAGCACTCATTGGCTGTCTTGGTTGGGAAATATTTTAATGGCCAAATTTGACACCAGATTTGTTTCTTCATTCAAACTGCACCTTTCCAAACTCTCTTAGGTTGTCCTGTGTACAATGGGGGTCAAAGCAGCTCTTCCGAGGTACGAGCTCTACATGTATAATGTGGTGCTGTGTATGGCAATGCTCTGGGCTGCCAGATGGATATTTGACGTGTCCAGCTGTAAGTATATGAACATATGTTCTGATGGGACCCTAACATGATGTCACTGTAAGAATAAAGTTTCTGGAGTGGTTTCTGTGAGGCTTTTACCATTTTACTGTAACATCCACCTGAGCTCATTTTTTCACTCATAAATGCATATACAACCACACTGTAAAAAGTGATCAGATGATAAAAAAGTGAGGAAACCAGTTGCCTTAACATGATTAAATAAATTTCATGCATAATTGAAAAAAAAAGTTATGTGAAATTGTCAAGTTCACTTAACTTAATTTTTTCAATTACTTAACAAACACTTAACTTAATTAAATCAAAGTTTATTTACTTAATCACTTTGAGGCAACGGGTTTCCTCAGTCAACTGATCACTTTTTACAGAGCAAAGAAATAACACTACAGTTTACTGTATGAGGAAAAAGACAGCACAGCTATTCGCTTGCCTCAGAAAGCTATGCAAAGTACGCAGTGGGATCATATGTCAGTATTAATATACCAAGAGACTGAACAGAGAAAGAGAAGAGAAAGAGAAAGGTACTATTGTGGGTTTATGATAAAAAAATTGCATTTGCATTCAATATACAGTAATAACATAATTGAAAATGCAGTTTTCTGCATTCATATACACATCTATGTTTTTGCAGAATTAAATGACTGAAAGGTATTATTGTGGGTTTATGACAGAAACTACTAAATTTGCATTTAGTATAATAATTAGTGCTGTCAAATCGATGAATCACATCTAAACATAAAAGTTTATATATATATATATATATATACACACAACACACAAACTTTTATGTTTGATGCGATTATTCACGATTAATCGGTTTGACAGCGCTAGTAATAATATCAATGTTTTTTGCATCCATGTATTTACATCTTTTAATCAGAGCATTACATGACTTTATGATTCTTTATTCAGCAAATTCCAACAAAAAAACCTTCAAGACCAGTGTTCAGCCAGGATGGTACTACTCTGGCAGAAAGATGGTGAGATTTTGTATGTATAATTTCATACTGGATCTAAATAAAGTTGTGAATGTGGACTCTGATTCATCACTGTCGCTCTGCAGGATACAGCTGACGTTGAGTGGATGATGTGGTTCTCCACCTTCAGAGTGCATATCATCTTTGCACTCTCAGGTCATGTGATCTTTGCCAAGATCTGCTCCTTGCTGGCTCCGCAGGTGGCTCTTGAAAGTCCAGACACATCTGTGTTACATGTGACACTATTGACTAAATGTATCACTCCGTACGGCCAACCTGAGAGGCTCATTCTCTCATTTTTTTCCCCATCCCACAGTACAGATCTCTGGTGTTCATGGTGTACGGTATGCTGGCAGTTTTCAGCAGTATGGGCTGGGCTTACGTCATGCTCATCCTGTCTCACTGTGTGCTGCTCTATAGCATCTCTCTGGTCAAGCTCAGATGGCTCTGCTTCGTTGCTGGACTCACTACATTGGCTACTTTCAAAATGGAGCCCTTCATTTCCTGGCAGGCATGTCACTGACACTGTCAAAATATAAAAATGTAAATAGTGCTACAGTAAAGCTATAATATATAATGGTCATCACCATTTGGTATTATTGTTATTATTTTTTTAAATGGAAAGAAATCTAAATGTTTATGTTATAAATATAATTTGTTAATTATGAATTGTAATTTTAAAATAAACAATAAATATTATTATAATAATTGTTTTTAATATTGTATATTATTATTATTAAAATGAAAATAAATTAAATCTAAATGTTTATAAATGCTATAAATATTTAATGATATATTTTATTAATAAAAATAAACAAATAAAATGTTTATAAATGTTATACATTTTTAATCATAACTTTCTATTTAAAATAAATAAGCAAATAAACTAAAAATAAATAACATTATTATAATTTATAATTATTACTTTTGTATATTATTAGTAGTAGTAGTAAAACATGTTTTTATAAATGTTATAATATATTTTAAATTATAAATTTTATTTAATAAATAATAAAATAAAATAAACAATACCATATTGTCATTAATTACTATTACTATTGTATATTGTTATTATTATTAAAATAAAAAAAATGAAATCTAAATGTTTATAAATGAGGATGAAGACAATAATGATAATCATTGTTTTTTATTTTAATAAAAATAATCATTCTCATTATTCATTATTAAAATAAAAGAAACATAAAATACAATGAAAAATACATATCATTATTATTATTTGTGATTATGATTGTGTTCATTTGAGATGGCTCATCTTTCAGGCAGGTTTTGTGACTGGCAATTTTGATCTCCGTCCTCTTCTGTTCTACGGCGGCTGTGGTTTCACCGTCATGCGCTGTATGAGTTTTGCTCTTGAGAACTGTGAGAGAAAAGATGGAAACTACAGCATCCTGGAGCTTCTCAAGTACAACTTTTACCTCCCCTTCTTTTACTTCGGACCCATCATGACCTTCGACAAGTTCTACATTCAGGTCTGTAACTAAATTTACTGAATGAAATGGTGGTTTGATTATTTTCCAAATAAATAGCGTTGCCCTTTGACACCCCACCAGGCCAATAACCCTGACCTGACAAGGAAGGACGGGGAGATGTGGAACATTTCCATCCAGGCCCTGCTACACCTGGGGGTTATTATGATAGTGGCAGTCCTCTTTCACTTCATGTACATTCTGACCATTCCTAATGACATGAAGCTCCTTAAACACATCTCTGACTGGGCCCTCGGTAAGCATGTGTGTGTTAGTATTCACTTTGCTCAAGTTGATCAATGTCCAAAAGACCACCATAGCCTTTCTCTTCTTACACTATTCAGTTGGATTGGCCTACTTAAATCTGGTGTATGATTGGGTGAAAGCGGCAGTGATGTTTGGAGTGATAAACACAGTATCAAGACTGGATTACCTGGACCCTCCCAAACCCCCGAAATGCATTACAATGCTTTATGTTTTCTCTGAGACGTGAGTCAGCCCTTTCAATTTGTTGTCTTTTTTTAATTTTTCATAAATTGATTTTGATATAGTCAGTAAAACAAACCTATATTCATCATTCTAAAAATGAAAACCATTCCATTTTTTACAGACACTTTGATCGAGGAATAAACGAATTTCTATGCAAGTATGATTGACATTGTTACATATCAGACTTTTAAAGGGGAAAGTTCACCCAAAAATGAAAATTCTGTCATCATTTACTCACCCTCAAGTTGTTCCAAACCTGTATGAGTTTCTTTCTTCAGTTGAACACAAAAGAAGATATTTTAAAGAATGTTGGTAACCAGACAGTTGACTAGCCATTGACTTCCATAGTGTTTTTTCTCCTATGGAAGTCAATGACTACGGATCACCGTTAAATGTTTGATTACCAACATCAACATTCTTCAAAATATCTTCTTTTGTGTTCAACGGAAGAAAGAAACTCATACAGGTTTGGAACAACTTGAGGGGAAGTAAATGATTTTGGGTGAACTAACCCTTTAAGCAACACAATGCTTTCAAGCATCAGAATTTTAACAAAGAATGCTGTCATCTCCACAGGTATGTTTATAACTATCTAGGCGGAAAACATGAGAACGTTTTGGATGAGCTGATAGCCTCTCTGTGCACGTTTGGCATCACGGCCCTCTGGCTGGGACCAAGCTGGGTGGTTTTCATCTGGTCTTTCTTAAACTGCTTTGGCCTTAATTTTGAATTGTGGACCACACAACTCTTCTCCATGGAACCTTTTATTTCAATTGAGGTAAGTTAAAGAAATATGACCAGTAATAATTTGCTGGTTGTAGTCAGGTAGCCTACTCAATTTAAAGTGCTAATGATAATTAGTGCTTCAGGGCTCCCTCTAGTGGTTAAATATTATTATTTTTTTGTGCTAAAAAGGTCCTCTAGTGCTCCACCTGGTGGTTAAATGTTAAATTACTGGTAATGTAAACAAGTCTATAAATGTTTCCTTCCACCAACAGATGGCGATATCAGATTCTATGTCGCGCAGGATCAGGGCTGTGTTTAATACCTTCAACTTCTGGACAATCGTCCTTTACAATGTCCTGGCCCTGAACAGTCTTGAATTTGCCAAACTGGTTGCAAATAGATTGTTACTTAAAGGTAAAGTACTGAGGTGGTACTTGAGCAATTTAAATGCATTTTAAAAACTAAAAGATTTGATGTTTATCAAACTGTATTTTGTTTGTCAGGTTTCCCCTTCACCACCATTACTGTGATGTTCGTCACCTACTGCTTGATTCAGCTGATCAAGGAAAAGGAAAGAAGACAGGCTTTGATTGACGATCCAGACCCAATCCCAATCCCAATCCCCATCCCCCCTCCAGCCCCTGTTCCTGCACCCACTTCCACAGACCCCAGCACCACCCAGATGGACGCTGCTGCCACCCAGCCTGTGGACCCGAACAAGCAAAAGGCAGAGTAGAGATTACACATGATGGTTACATTTTTTTATTTTTATTTTAACGGAATGGTTTTCTTACACATTGTGTGTACCATAGTCTAGAAATAGGGAGAAAGAATGTTTAATAACAGGACTGTAAGGTAAGATGCTGCAATCGAAACCACTATTTACATTTTCACAGAATTTCTCAACATTACAGACATTACAGTTTTACATGTAATAGGATTTTCAAATGAGTGCTTTGTAGTTAAAAACATAGAGGATGGATTTTATTACTACTAATTTTATAACCAAGTTTTAATTTAAATGAAATACAAATACCCAGTGTTCATAGAGGTTATTACTGCCTGAGGTTGAAAATATGTGCTTAAAGGGTTAGTTCACCCCTAAAAAGTCCCTCCATTGATAGCCTATGGAACTACCACTTTCAAGCCCCAGAAAGGTAATGTGGTAAAGGTAAAGACATCATAAAAGTAATCCATGTGAATCCAATGGTTTTACCTCAATTTCATGAAGTGACGTAAGTGCTTTGTTTGCGCTTTATTTACAAAATATGAATCTCCAATGCACGTTCACGAGAGCACCACGATGCATACATGCTATGTTGACGTGAGTGGAGACGTTTTGTGAACGTGACGTACGAGTTACTTTGTAAAAAAGTGGTAAATTGTGGGGGGTTTTTGTGCAAACAAAGAACTTGCGTCACTTCATAAAACTGAGGTTAAACCACTTGAGTCACATGGATTACTTTAATGGTGTCTTTACTTTCTGGGGCTTGAATGTGGTAGTTGCATAGTCTCTCATATTTCATCAAAAAGATCTTCATTTGTGTTCTGAAGATGAACGAAAAACTTATGGGTTTGGAATGACATGAGTGTGAGTAATTGATGACAGAATTTTAATTTTTGGGTGAACTAACCCTTCAAATTAAAATAATGGACTGAAGATCACAAAAGATTATTTTATGAAGTTGTAATATATATTAAAATAATCTTCATTAATGACCATGTGTATGTCTCTTTGTCAGCTTGCTAGTTCTTTTCGAAACTTTTCATGTTTCAAATTACTGTAAAAGGAAATGGTAAAGTTCTTATTGACAGAGATTGATCACAGAGTCTCTCAGAGATCACAGAGGACATGGTTGCTTAAATTAAACTGTGACTCTTCACAAAAGCATGAATGCCATTGAGAACATTCAAGATCTTTGATGTAATGAAACCCTTTTCACTCTAGGATATTTATATTAACTGGCATAAGCTCTATTTGTTCAACCGTTAAGGTAACCAATGACCACGTGTAAACTATTGATATTCTCATCAGTGACTCCTGATGTATAATATATATTTTGTCTTCATAATTTTGTATTCGTTTTTTAACCCTCTTTAATGACCCGGGATGTCATTCACTAGCCTCCTCCTCATTCATTTTTTAAAGTTAGACATCCTTTTTAGTATTTCTCAATCAATTCATTATAAACAATATTACAAGAAAATAAAATGGTAAAAGAATGTTTGTTTTCTCTTTCATTTTTTGTAAAAATTGTATAGGGTTGCTAATGACCCGAGGAGTGTAACAGTAAGCATATTTTTTCTGCACAATAATCTTTGATGACTGAATAAGTGCAGTTTACCTTTATTCCACAAAGTGGCAATGTCTGATACACATTGATGAAGTAACGTTTCACTATGTAACCGCAGGCAGAAAACAAAAGAATAGGAAGTATCATGAGCAAAACTTGAAATTACTCAGATTTACTGCAGAGCAAGTACTGAACGCAATCAAATATAAGTGTCACTGTCACTTGATGGTGGATCTAGTGAAGAAGCTGTCAGCGATTAAAATATTGATTTTGAAGATGTTGAAAATGTATAGTTTTAAGAATATGTTTGAGATCTTGAATATGAGCCAGATGCTGAATGTCCTGGGAAATGAGCTCTGATGAGGACAGTGATGATGGTAAAAAAATGCTTTATTTTATTTATCTGTAATTGTTACTCTGATATCAGGAGAGTTTTATATTATCGTGACAGGCAGAGATCCATCCGTGTTAGATATAGATTCGGGTCGCTTAAGACCAGAATATTTAATAATGATTGGTGAAACATTCATGCTTTAAACGGTTAAATATAATATATGATTGTAAGTTGATTTTTAACTTTTGTTATGATAGAAAATGCAGATAACAGCTCAGCCAATTTATAAAAACATCAACTTATACAATAACTTCTAGAGGTCAACAAGCACAAAAGGCTTTGGAATATATAATAAGATTATTTGGTTACACTTCATTTTAAGGTGACGTTGTTTATTTGCTTGTAATTATGCATAATTTACTGTAATTACTATAGTAAGTACATGTAACGTATGCGGCCTTAAAAATAAATTGTTACCGATTTATAATTTTGGTCCATTTTCCAGGGTGGGATATTTGATACCAAATGTATGGAAAGTTAAGTATTTTAAGCAATATTACAAGATGCGAATCCCTTTAATAAAATAACCCATTCTCAATAAAATAGTCTATAAAAATAATAAATCAAGAGGGTGATTCATGATCTCATAAAGGTCCTATCTAGTGGCCTGTGATCTCACCCAGAAGGCCAGTGCTTCTTCTGACTGCTGTCTTTCCCATGGGGAAGTGTGTCAGCTGTTGCACAGGACAGGGGGTTGTGTTTCACATGTACAAGTATGGATTCCACATCTTTGTGAAGGATCTATAAATAGCCCCCAGTTGGAGTTTGGTTGAAGCACTGGGACAGCTGATGAAGCCTGAAATCCTGACAGCAAAGCGGAACTGTTTCAACCCTGCCTCTTCTTTCTCAACCACTAACAGAAGTGCGGAAGAGAGAGCGCTGGACTAGCCATTGACTGACCATTAGGGATAGTACGCGATCAATATGGCTATACCTATAGATCCCATGGAGGAGCCACGCATGTACCAGCAAACCCTGCTGCAAGATGGTCTATACGATCTTCTGGAGAGCGATATGATGGTTGACTGCGTGTTGAAGATCAAAGACAAAGAGTTTCCATGCCACCGTTTGGTCCTGGCCGCTTGCAGCTCGTACTTCAGAGCTTTCTTCAAGTCAGGTATGGAGGAGAGTAAACAGAAGGAGATCGTACTGGAGGATGTGGAGCCTGGCGTCATGGGGATGATCTTGAAGTACCTCTACACCTCGAACATCAACGTGACGGAGCAAAACGTGCAGGACATCTTCGCTTTGGCCAACATGCTTCAAATCCCCTCGATTTTCACTGTATGTGTCTCGTTCCTGCAAAAGCGATTGAGTTTGAGCAACTGTTTGGCGATTTTTCGACTAGGACTGATGCTGGATTGTCCTCGTCTAGCCATATCTGGGAGGAACTTTGCTTGCGAGCGCTTCCAGTTTATTGCCCGGGATGAAGAATTCCTGCAACTGACTCCAAGCGAATTGGCGGCCGTTATTGCATCTGACACTTTGAACGTAGAAACGGAGCAAGACGTTTTTGAGGCTTTGATCAAGTGGGTTGGACATGACCAAGAAAAGAGGCTGAAGGACCTACCGAGTCTGCTGGACTGCATCAGATTACGTCTGGTTCCTCAGGACTACTTCACCAAAAATGTGGAGGAACATGAATGGTTGAGCTCGAACCCAGAGATCATGAAGAAACTGCAACTGGTCAAAGACGCCCATGCTGGGAAGCTTCCAGAAGTCAAGAAGACCAAAAGCAAAAAGAGTGCTGGTGAGGAAGGACAGAAGGAGGGAGATGAAGAGGAGGAAGAAGAGCAGGAGGAGCTACTTCCAGGCATCTTGAATGACAATCTGCGGTTCGGGATGTTCCTGAGAGACTTGATCTTCATGATCAATGACACTGCATCGGTGGCTTATGACCCAACGGGAAATGATTGTTATGTGGCGGCACTCTCAACCCAAATCCCTAAAAACCACTGCAGTCTGGTCACAAAGGAAAACCAGATATTTGTGGCAGGTGGACTCTTTTTTGATGAGCAAAGCAAAGACGAACAGATCTATTCATACTTTTTGCAGGTAAAAGACTAGTTTCCTTCCCTTTACTGCTTTAATGCAGTCTAGTTTTCATTCATTCTTTTCTCAGAATCATTCATTCTACACACTGTAAAGTTTATGTGGTGTGGTCTACAAAAATCTTTGACAACATTAGTAAACAGATCAGCGTGTGTTTGCATCTTACCCAACTATATTTACCAATATATTTGGATATAAGTTAAGGTTGGTTTTCTGTCCTGTATTGATAATATATTTTCTATGAAACTTAAGACAGGATATAGTAGTCATAGTCAAGGGCAGGAGTCATCACAATTTGAACATTGAAACCTAACCATTAACAACATTGTGGATAAGTTGTTATTCTGTCAGGACCACTATCGTCAAATACGATTAACAATAGGCTTTATGCACAGCTTCACTACTTCCTGAACTTCAGCCAGCCCTTTGTTTCCTGTCTGTCATTATTGGACAAACTGATTAATCCAGGTGTGCCTGATTATTGTTACTGAGGCCAGGTACACCTGGATTAATCAGTTTGTCCAATAATGACAGACAGGAAACAAAGGGCTGGCTGAAGTTCAGGAAGTAGTGAAGCTGTGGCATAAAGCCAATTAGCATACAGTTTGGATTGGCGGTTTGGTTCTGTTCTGGGCGAGAACTCCCTGCGCATCCATGCAGCCTAGCATGGATAAGAGCAGGGAGAGCAGCAATAACCCCCATTAGGGTAAACAGAACAGATCCAACTTGAATGTATTGCACATATCATTAATTAATTTTAATGTACAACATAATTAGCTAATTTTAGTCTGATTCAGGGGTAATCAGAATGCCAAATCCTGACTGACGATAGGAGGAGCTGGGGAGGGAGGAGGGTAATTTGCTCCCGAGAAACGCGATAGCTGCTGATAATAGGCTACTGAAGGAGCTTATATATATATATACAGTATTAGGCGTCGTATTCCTACAGGTAGACGTGGATCAGCTGATGCGAGCTTGACTAACGTGACCTGCCAGAACTGACGCTACGCTTGATTTAGTACTCACACACACACACACACACACACACACTCCCTGCAATGTTTATAGAAGATTAGTAATTGGTTCCCAAAAAAACATCCAAACCGAAACCATACCCTAACATTAAGGGAACGCTTTGTGTTTGTTGGGAATAACTTCTCAGTTAACAGACATTGACATATTTTCTGTGAAACCTGAAAGCTTTGGCAAAACTTTTGAAAAACCAAGAGGTTTTAGTTTTGTTATTTGCTAGCTGGTTTCAAGTAGTATTAGAGGGAGTGGCATTCTCATTCTAGAGAGATTTTTTGACTTGGAAAAAATCTGTATAGTATAGGATAAGTCATCATTATTATTTTTTATAAATTTTCCCGTAGGACAAAGACTGGATTTTTTTATGTTTAATTTGTAATTTTAAGTTTATTTTGTCAATGTTTAGAATGACTTCACAGCTAACAAGCATGCACTAAAAGCCACTCAACTCTAATTTTATAATTGATATATTATACAGTTTGACCCTGCAACATCGGACTGGATGGGTATGCCTCCCATGCCCTCCCCCCGCTTCCTGTTCGGGATGGGTGAGGCTGAAAACGTCATCTTTGTGATTGGAGGGAAAGAAATGAAAGAAGGAGAACACATTCTGGAAACAGTTATGGTTTATGACAGACAGTAAGTACTGATGCCACGTTAATTATTTGAAGATCAGCAGTACATTTGTCTTTTGTGTTTATTGAATCATGAATCTTCCAGATACTTCAAGTAGCCCTGTTTTTTTTAAAGGTATCTTAAATGGGCCGAGTCGGATCCTCTTCCCTACCCAGTATATGGCCATGGAGTAGTGTCTCATAATGAAATGATCTATGTAATCGGAGGAAAGGGAGAGAACAAGTAAGTTGATAAGCTATTTCTGGCTTCTGTTTTGAAATATGCATATAACATGATACACTTACGGTCAAGTTTTTGGAATAATTACGTACAAAAAAGAAAAGAAAGAAGTCTCTTATGTTTAGCAAGCCTGTATTTGATCAAAAATACAGTATAAACATTAACATTGTCAAATATTATTACAATTTAAAACAACTTTTTTTATGTTAGAGTATATTTTAAAATAAAATTTATTCCTGTGATGTCAAAAGCTGAATTTTCAGCATCATTACTCCAGTCTTCAGTGTCATATGATCTTTCAGAAATCATTCTAATATGCTAATTTCCTGCTCAAGAAACATTTCTTATTATTATTATGTTGAAAACAGTTTTTGGGGTCAGTTCGATTTTAAGAAATTAATACTTTTATTCTGCGAGGACACATTAAATTGATCAAAAGTGACATTAAAGACATTACAATGTTACAAAGAGAGTTCTACTTCAAATAATCTTGAAAGAAATGTATGTACAGGGTTACATATCTCACAGTTACATATTTTTGTCTTATTTTGTAGAGAGTGTTTGAATAGAGTGTGTGCGTATGACACTAAAAAGCATCAGTGGATGGATCTGGCTCCATTAAATACTGCACGCTCACTTTTTGGGGTCACCATCCACAAAAACAAGATCTACGTGGCAGCTGGTGTTACGGACACTGGCCTTACAGGCAGCGCTGAGGTCTATGACATCAAAACCAACAAGTAAGCGTGGCCCATGGCCGCACACATGCGTTAAAAACCTGCTGCATTATAATCTGAGTTTTATGATACACATTGAAACTCATCAATTAGCTTGCATTAAACTTAATATTTAACCACAGCCCTCTCTATCTTACAGGTGGTCCGAGTTTGTGGAGTTTCCCCAGGACCGTAGTTCTCTTAGCCTGGTCACTGTGGGTGGTGTCCTCTATGCTGCGGGTGGTTTTGCCATGTTCCCCAAAGAGGGCAGTGATGATCTCATGCCGGAGGAGATGAATGACATCTGGAGGTGAGGCGCTCGGTCACTACACCAATCAGTCTTTAAGTAAAGGGAGACGATTTAAGTTTAAAAATCTGGGGTTGGTGAGATTTTTTTGTTTTTGAAAGAAGGCGGCATTTATTTGATCGAAAATAAAATCAGTAATCAAATTTATATTTGAGTTTTCTATTTTAATATATTTTAAAATGTAATTTATTCCTGATGCAAAGCTGAATTTTCAGCATCCGTCTGCAGTGTCACATAATCCTCCAGAAATCATTCTAATACGTTGATTTGCTGCTTTCCTATTATTACAAAATGATGAACAGAACAGTTGTTGTGCTGACTAATATTTTTGTGCAAACTGTGAAAAAAAATTCAGGATACTTTGATGAATAGCGCTCAAAAGAACAGATTTGTTTTTTTTAAACAGAAATATTTTGTACTATTGTCTTTACTGTCACTTTTGATCAATTGAACGCATCCTTGCTGTATACATTAAAGGTTCTCTAAGCGATGTCGGGTGACGTCACTTCTTGTTGACGTTTAAAGTATTGTCAAACAAAACGGAGGCTAGCTAGACCCTCCCTCCTCCTCATCCGCGCACTAACCCCGCCCCCAAGTCCTTCTTGTCGGTGATTGGCTGGAACTGTTTGTCATGTTTCGTGGAGCGGGTTAGCCCAGTTTGTTTTTGTTGCCGTTTGTGGAGCCTGGGGTGTCTACAGAGATCGCGTTTCTTTACAGTGTGTTCAGGGGACAGGCAGCCAGCGGTTAGTGAGGAGATGTTTGCTGTATGTGACAAAAAATGTTTTGGCCTAAAAAACGCGTGACATCGCTTAGAGCACCTTTAATTATATATAAGTATTAATAATTTCATTTAAAAAATCATATTGAACCCAGTCTTTTGAATAATAGTGTATAAAGGGATGCAATATTACAATTCTATACTATTTTGTTTAAATAAATTAAAACCACTAAAATGTATTTGTTTAAATGCTACAAGTGAACTTTGAAATGAGCATACACAATAAAAAATTAAATATAAATCAACATCAGCCAGTCATTAATATGGTACTGATATACTGTGCATATACTAATATAGGCCCTACAGGTATTTTTTGATATGTTCAAATAAAAAGGTTCATGTTTGTTCAGGTATGATGAGGGCGAGAGGAAATGGATCGGCATACTGAGAGAGATTCAATATGCATCTGGTGCAACAGTTCTGGGAGTTCGTCTCAACAGTCTTCGACTCACAAAAATGAGAGACAACACCAGTGCTGTCCATTGAGTCTATGTACCAAGGAAAGACGGTATAAACTGATTTAAAATCAGCTATTGGACAAAGGGAAGACTAGAACCAGCACGAACCACAAGAGGACAGAACATCGATTTCATGAAAGTGATCATCTGATATTCAACATTCAAACACACTTTACAGATCATTTATCAGTTGGAACAAAAAGAAAAAGCCATCCAACCCAGGCTTATTGGAAAAACGTACCTTTGGGGACATTTCTGCAAAATGATATTATGTTGCTTCTTGCACATTTCACGGCAAAGTCACTTTCACTTTCAAAGTAAAATGTCCAGTGAGTGGCGATAAAAGCACATTCGTTCAGTTTTACTTTTATCTGAAACAGATGAACGTGAATCTGGCGATGTTTTGTTCATATGGTGGCAGTTCTGTCCATGGTTCTGTCCGGTAGCGTTGAAAATAACGTAGGCTACCACATACAGTAGCTAGCCTAGGCCTAAACGTGAGAAAAAAACCTCTATGAAAAAAAAAAAAAAAACATTTGCTAGGCAACCATACCATTTCAAATTGATTCATTGATTGATGAAGTCTGTGAGCTCTTTTATTGTTGACTCAAGTTTCACGACACTTATAGCCTACCCAAACGCGCTCTGCATCATGTGAAATATATTGCATAGAAAACAGGACTACATTTGATCTTACGATAATTTCTCTAATGTGCTTACGACATGTGATTCATACTCCGAGAACCAACGTACGCACAAAACAACAACAACAACAACGTGTCATTAACATATTAAGGGAGCACCAGTCAGCGTCCATGCTTTACTTGAGAATGGTGAGCGGCAAGAATTGCTTTCCAAATAGTACAGTAGCTACTCCGTCTCCAACTCTCTTTTCCAAGCCAAAGCCAGTTTTTATATGACCCGTAGGGTGAACGTGATTTCACCAAGTACCACATGTTCCAGGATCAACTTTCCAATCAACCAATCAAATTTGAGGGACAAGTTTACAGTTTAAGTCAAGTTAAGGCTTAGAACCAAGTACTTAAACATCAGTGTTATTCACCTGTCATTACCCTCTGATTTTAGGGAAAAGTTATAGGTAGGGTTAGGTTTAGGGGTAGGGATTGGGTAAGGACTACATTTTGGGACAGGAATATTGATCCAGGATCAACAAAATATGTCTTACTTGACAAAATCACGGTGACCATAAACGTAGACGTGGATTTTTGGCGTAGCCTACGCACACTCCAAGTGCAATGCTGTACCACAGCTACCAAGCTAGTTTACTACACCAGAAAATCCATGTCTTTATTAATCGATAATGCACCTGTAATTATAATTTGTTTGAAAGGGAATAAGTGGTGTTTTACTGCCACTTGTGTTTATTTCAGGAAGCTGCAGTTAATTGTATTTATAGCCTATGTTTTTCGAGTTTTGCAAAAATGTGGGCATGTTTTTCCAGTAAGCCTATGTTGCAACCAGTACAGATATTTTGAAAATAAGCCTGTGGAAATGCTGTTTCTGAACACTATTATTATGGTCAGAGCTTCTTGTGTCATGTTGTGTAATTGGTCATTTTATTGTTTTATATTGTATTATTGTTCACGTGACATTTCTATTGTATTCTGTATGAGATAAATATTTGCCTTTCAAAGTAAAGCAAAAAACGAAACACAAAAATGCTTGGTGTGATGTTTCATTTAGTTTACTATTGAAATGATAATTTTATTTTGTTACAGACAATAAATACCCAATACAATAAATGACAAAATACAGCTTCATTTTATTAGCACCGCTAGACTTTGTATTGTTTAGTATTCTGCTGACAGAACCAGCACAACTGCCAACTGCATGTACACAAAGTTAACTAAGACATACTAGCGTATAGAACAGTCACACTCATGATTGTTTTAATACATTGAAAGTATGGGCAAGTTTAAGTATTGCATGTTGAGTGCTAGTTTAGGAAAAAAAGTTAATATATTTCTTGAATTTGGTTTTATAATGTCTTTCCAAGATAATTATGGGGAGTGGTTTCTTTGAAAATTAAACAGACAAAAAAACAAAACAAAAAAATTCTGAAGTGCAAATCACCTCTTGCTATCACTTATAATTTATAACAAAGGATAGCACACAACAGAACAAACTAAAATAACAGACAAATCCTTCTTAATATAAATCTTTCTCTCTTTCCAAAATCACTTAAATACACAGTTAAAAAGAAAAAGAAAAGGCCACAAGCATCCGAAGTCTTTCTTAATAAGCAGCAAACTAGGAATAATACACACTAGTAAATTATGTAAAACATAAAAAAATAGTAAAGACTTGACTTCCACCTTTTATTCTCACAACTTGTAAGAGAAATATTTTCTTTCAGATGCACAAAATCAATTCAAAATTTAGCTCTTCAATGGCCTTTTTTGTACTACAATATCTCCAAAGATAGAGATTTACTTCTGTGCAATTTCACGTAAAATAATAAGACTTTAGTTTAAGAGAGAGAGAGCGAGAGAGAGGGAGAGAGAGAAATTAAGGGGGAAAAATAGGATCATAACAGAAAGACTTCAGCAGTTTCTTTTAAACTTTTTAACAAAAACATGTTATCCAAAGCCTTGTACCATAACATTAATATCCAAATAAAGTGCACACAACAAAAAAGAAAAAGTGAATTCTGTGTTAATTCACCTTGTTATAAGACATAAAGCAAGTGCTATGTGCATCAGAAAACTTTCTGGGGAAGTTTTTAATATTTCAATAATATCGTTAAAGGAACATGAGATGAAATTTTTTTTTTAATATATTAAAAGGGACTTTAAAAATATAAACATCCTTGAGGACATCCCAACATCCGTTGAGGACACTTTAATAAAGTTAGTTGGGTATAAGGTGCAATATGACACTGAAAAACATGTAAAGAACACTAACAACATGTCCGTGGCAAAATCATAAAAAGTTTAAAAACAATAATCATCTGGTACAACATTAAAGATTTCTGCTAAATATTATTTTTTTTTAAAGACCCCGAGGTCATGGTCTCTGCTCAGATCACCATTATCTTCCCCAATGATCATGGCAACTCTATTCCATTACACACTTAAGACAAGTTTGTTATAGTGCCTCTAATAATTGATCTTATTTTTTTTACAGTGTACACCTAGCATGTTATGCTCTGTTTATTATTATTATTAATTCCAGAATTTCTACAATTCCATTCCAAACTTAAAGGTATAGTTTAGACAAAAATGTAAATGCTGTCATCATTTACTCGCCCTCATGTAGCAGCTTGAGCATTCTGCTATTATTAACCCCTTTTGTAAAGGGATAAAGTCATAACAAGAACAGAATGTACATTTTTGGGTGAACCGTTCCTTTAACTATGCAAGCTTGTTAACTGCCACAGAATAAAAAAAAAGGTAAATGTGACTTTTTGTTTCATAATTCTGACTTTTTTTCTCTCGTAATTGAAAGCTTATATGTCACAATTGCGTTTTTTTCATCTCACAATTCTGAATTGCGAGATAAAGTAGCAATTCTGAGATACAAACTGACTCCCCCCCCCTCAGAATTGACAGATACAGTAAACTCGCAATTCAGACTTTTTTTCTTGGAACGGTGAGATAAAAAGACGTTTTTACCTTTTTATTTTTTTTATTCCATGGCAGAAACAAGCTTCCACATTTAACTGACCATTCTGCCGGGACTTTCAGAAACTTCTTAAAGAAACACATACCATTTAAAACCACTTGCCGTTACTTGCATTAAGCTGCGTTTTCTTAACCCAGAAACATGACTGATGTACTGTGAACAAGGTATGGTAATATTTAAGATGGTAAGAAGGTAAAATTCTAGAGTTTATTCCCAATATAAAAACTTATTTCCATCATGCAAGTTCTTTCATGAGTGCTGGCCTCTGCATCTCACCACATTCATTTGACTCTACAAAGAATGTAAACAAAGAAAACTGATTAAACAGAAACTGACAGAGTTTATTTACAGACTATGTATGTTTATATATATCGTAAATGTGTGTGTGTGTATATTTATATATATTTAAATGTTTATATAGGATAATACCTATTATAGCTACTACATTTTACTGCTCCTAGAGTTGTTAGAGTGTTTTCTTCAACTATATTTTGTCTATAAAAATCCTCTCTACAGTGGGTAAGGAAATTGTGACAAATTGTCTATAATTTTAGAATTTCAAATTCTATGTGGCCTCTCAACAGGACCATCTTACAGCGTACATGAGTCCTAGAAGACAGGTCTAATAGTTTGCTAAATTTTTAGGGTACAAAACAACATGATTTCCATCATTTGACTATACTGAAGCCCTCACTTTCTATAAGTTATTCAGGCCCGCTGTCATTTTAAACTACCGCAAAAATAGTGTGAAGTGAAAAAAATAAGTGAAAGCATTAATGATGACTGATAAATCACTGTAAAAAAATAGTGGATAAACCTGTTCTGTGTACCATAAAGCATTTCAGACATTCAACAGAAATATTTTTGAACCACACATACCCTGGCGCTCATCCAGGTTTGATATTGCCTCCATGTAAATAAAACACACTCCATTTCACACTCATGAGTGGTTTAGGCGTTTCAGATTTTGCCATTACACATATGGCCAACACTGAGAGTAAAGTGCTCTGAAAATTGTAAAATATTTTAGAGAGAAAAAGAATTGCGAAGCATCCTTCTTTGGGATTTTTAAAAATAATAAAGGTTTTCTCAAGTGCCTTTGCTACATATAACCTTTGATACAAACCAACCGTCCAATCTGTGCCCTGCACAGACGCTTCACAAAACAAACCTCTGCAAATATCAGAGGACCTCATGTGGCAAAACGTTAAACTTTCAGAATACGAAGAAGACAGGACAATATAAATACATCTGCGATTAAAAATAAGGTGCTGGAGTGATTATACATTTCATATTCAGTTATAACATATGCTAACAGGATTTGGTTACTGCGATACATCTGGATTTGGTTATGGCAGGGGGACATATTTATGCTACATTTTAATTGGCTAAAGAGCTATTCCGAAAGTTCGCAATGCTCACGTCCCACAGCGCCCTCTGCTGTGAGTGCAATACACATCAATGCAGCTAATGGGAATCTCAACGGACAAAGCATGAACGACTACAGCAAGAGGGTGAATGTGATTTCACCAAATACCACATGTTCCTGGATCAACATCTTTGTTGATCCTGGAACAACTTTCCAATCAACCAATCAGATTTACAGTTTAAGTCAAGTTTAGGATTAGAACCAGGGAACATGTCTTACTTGGCAAAATCACGGAGGCCATGGCGAGAGCATGTGAAGTGCAGAAATGCAGTGCTAACTGCTAATCCTGTAGCTCACAAAAAAATACATCAAACATCAAAAAAAAAAAAAAAAGAGAACATTTGTTTTCTTTCTGTAAAATGAGAAGCTTATTTGCACAGTATATAAAATATCTCTATGAGAATAAGATAAGTGAAAATTTGCACAGTTTAAAAAGAATATTCAGTGTTGCACACTGTTCAAACACCTGCCGGAAGTCTTAGACCTCGCTCAGCATGTTTGTAAACCCATATGAGAGTGATTCACATCAGATGTGAATCAAAAAGCTCACGGGGAGCTACTGCGAGCTTTGGGTTTCAGACAATAAACAATCAAAGGAACCTTAAAAAACTAGTTGTTACCGGAGTTAACCCTTTCAGTGGAAAACAGGGTCGGGGGAGAGGGAAGACCTACGATAGAGTGAACGAAGGGAAGCGAGAGCGACTTGACCTGGTGGAGACTGGATGCCTCTCCAGGAGGGGTCATGGGGTGGCTGGGTAACTGATTGGCTGGTGTGTCCATATCAGTTGACGTGGGGTCCAGTCCCAGAAGGTTGGTGGTATCAGATACCATGGGGTTGTTGACCTGGAAGCACTTCTCCTTGTGGGCTTTGAGCATGTTGGAGAAACGGAAACGCTGTCCGCAGACGTCACAGGGGTACGGCTTCTCGCCAGTGTGAGTGCGGCGGTGCCTTTTCATATTGGGCCGGCTCGTGAAGCTCTTTCCACAGACCTCACAGATATATGGTTTCTCTCCTGGAACAGATAAAAAGATTAAAGGGGTGATGAACTGAGAAATCAAATTTTCCTTGAGCTTTTGACATCTAAGAGGTCATCAAATTATAAGAATATCCTGTAAGTTTCAGAACTGAAAACGTCCTTGTTAGTCCAATAAAAGCTTTTATTGACACCAGGCTCAGCAAACGACTCGTTTTTCAAAGTGGGGAACTATGACGACAAAGAGGATAAAACACCACCCCCGCAGAAGAAGATCAACGCCTACTTCAACACGGCCGCTGTAGCCCCGCCCACCGATTCGCGCATTAGACGAAACTCATTATAATATGCAAAACTGTTATCCACTCACAGCAGTGGGCGTTTACTTCCAAGTCTTCAATGCGAGACGCCCATAAAAACCGAGCGTTTTTGAGCTAGGCTCAAAACTAGGGTAGAAAATAGCCTATTACTTATTCATTTTGATGTTTTTGAATGTAAAAACCAAGCGAACGTCGTAAGTTGACCTCAGACAACAATATAAAACAATTTAAAAAGCCAGTTCATGACCCCTTTAAAGAACTTAGTGTGCATTCACACAGGCAGTTTAGTTTATATATACAGTATATATATTATTTATATAAAATAAAATTACAATAATTTGTACTAATATGAAATATTAATAATAATATCTAATCAAGATTTGTGTTGACTGTGTTTAGGTGCCAGGTGCCAAAGTGGTGGTTCCTACCAGTGTGGGTCTTCATGTGTTCATCAAAGTACTGCTTCATGTTGAAGTCTTTCCCACACCACTGGCACATGAACTGCTTGTGTCCGATATGGATGCTCATATGTGACCTCAGCTGGTATTTGTACTGGAATCTTTCACTGCAGTTCTACAACATAGTAGCGGCATCAGATACAGTAGATTATAAAATAACATCTATATTCCTCTGCTAATAGTTATTTTTAAGACACATATCACAAACACATATTTCAACCAAAACATAAAAAAAAATGTTTGAAATGATAAAACAATAAATACTGGACGCTGTTCAAAATTAAAGGATTAGTTCACTTTTAAAAAAACTTTTGCTGATAATTTACTCACCCCCATGTCATCCAAGATGTCCATGTCTTTCTTTCTTCAGTCGAAAAGAAATTAATGTTTTTGATGAAAACATTCCAGGATTTTTCTCCATATAATGCACTTTGCTGGGCACCAAACGGTTCAAGGTCTAAATGACCATTTCAGTGCAGCTTCAAAGGGCTTTAAACGATACCAGACGATGAATAAGGGTCTTATCTAGCGAAACGATCGGCCATTTCAAAAATAAATAAAAAAGTTAAAGTGTTATAGGCACAAATGCTCGCCTTGCGAACTCTCCTGTTTCGAACTCGTTCATCAAAATGAATAAATCTTTTTTCGAGTCAATGACTCGAAAAAAGATTCGTTCATTTTGATGAACGAGTCAATGACTCGAAAAAAGATTCGTTCATTTTGATGAACGAGTTCGAACAGGAGAGTTCGCAAGGCGAGCATTTGTGCCTATAACACTTTAACTTTTTTATTTATTTTTGAAATGGCCGATCGTTTCGCTAGATAAGACCCTTATTCATCGTCTGGTATCGTTTAAAGCCCTTTGAAGCTGCACTGAAACGGTCATTTAGACCTTGAACCGTTTGGCTACCATTGAAGTCCATTATATGGAGAAAAATCCTGGAATGTTTTCATCAAAAACATTAATTTCTTTTCGACTGAAGAAAGAAAGACATGGACATCTTGGATGACATGGGGGTGAGTAAATTATCAGCAAAAGTTTTTTAAAAAGTGAACAAATCCTTTAAGAAGTATTTTGACACTTTCTGGTTGTCAAGTGTTAAGGTAACATGTCCGATGATTATGATTTGTGATTAGTCAATATGATTTGTTTTTGTGAAAGAAAGTAATTTAATTCAGTAAACATGCATAATCAATAAACATTTATAATGTTACAAAATCTGTTTCTATTTCAAATAAATGCTGTACTTTTGAACTTTCCATTCATTAAAAGAATCCTGAATAACAAAAAATATTAAGCAGTACAACCGTTTCAACATTAATAATACTAAATGTTACAGCATCTTAGAATGATTTCTGAAGGATCTTGTGACACTGAAGACAGAAGTGATGGATGCTGAAAATTCAGCTTTGACATCACAGGAATAAATTACATTTAAAAAAAAATATGAAAATAGAAAACAGCTATTTTAAATTGTAAAAATATTTTACATCATCACTGTTTTGATTAAATAAATGCAGCCTTGGTGAGCATAAGAGACCTCTTTCAAAAACATTTAAAAACACACTGATAGGACACTTAAGTGTAAACTTAAGGGAAAAGGACTTTTTCTGTGAAAAACACAAAAATGAAATACCTGAATCTCTCTGGCCTACAACTGATAATCCACATAAGTGAACTCACCTCACACTTGAAGGGCTTTTCTCCAGAGTGCTGGAGAGAGTGCACTTTAAGAGACATGCTGCGTTTGAAGGACTTCCCACACGTCTCACAAGTAAACGGCATGTCCTTAGTATGAGCTGCAATGAACAACCAAAATTCAAGAAATGCTTTCATGTTTGCTTTCATAGTAACAGTTCAATCATGACGACTCTTGGAATAGTTCTAGCATGTTATTGAATATGTCAATGTTAATATTTGGTCTTTCCGAACTAGATCTGCTTCGCTGCTGCAGCAGAGCAAGTATGGACTTGTTACTGCTAATAGATACACAGACACACTGCTGTGAGCATGTAAGAAATGATGCTTTAGCTGCAGATCTAGGCAGGTGGAGCTGGGGGAAGTGGAGGGTTTCAGAGGAACTCTGATAGCGCGCTGCAGGAATAGCTTAAAGGAAAAATTAACCAGAGCGATCTCATTGGCTGCAGGATCAGCAGAGGCCAATCAGCCTGCGCCCTGTAGAGTTTCGTGACTGAACTAGATACTTAACTGATATAAACTGATAAAAAACTAATTAAAGCTTAATTTCATCTTTAACAAATCTCAGTGTTAGTTGTTAAGGTTAGAGTGAGATTGTGACGTGGTTTTGTGTAAAATAAGACTGCATCATTACTGCATTTACTCAGTTGTCAGTGTTAGATGAGCAAGTGTAACTTGTTACCCTGTGGACAATTGAGTGGATTCTGGTAGAAGGAAGTTCTTTTAGATAAGATATTTCCTCTCTGCTGTCAGGGCAGATTAAACAATACAGCCTCTGTCCTCGGCTCAGTCTGTTCTGGATGGTAAGGCAAGGTCACAGCGGCTCTTTCCCCTGCTCAAAACAGAGCTGGGTATTTCACTATTGTGTTGGACCAAGCTCTGGGAAGATCAAGCTTCAGAAGATGAAAGTACCGTACGGTATGAAGGCCAGGGTGGGCTGTATTACCTCTGCCTGACGGTTAATTTACACCACAATATGTCTTTGTGCATTAGACAGGGCTGCTGTATTAAGCAGGATCTTGACTGCCACCTAGCTGTGGCAGGTGGAGGTATAGTTTGATGTTAAAATGAGGATAAAGTATCAAGATGTGGCCTGTTGCCAGAAAATAAGGGTCTTGAATTGAGACACAGTTTGAGGTTGAATCCTTTAGAAGAGTTTTGTGAACTAGATAACTGATTCAAAAAGAGTGACTCAAAAGAGTGATTCATTCACAAATTGTACATAACTACATCTTTCAGGATAGCTACGCTGAATTTTTTTTTTACAAATAAATGTCACAAATAATTACAAAGAAATGGGGAGTAACACATTGAATTAAACGTAAAATGACTAAACTTCGAAAGCATTTATTAATCTTAGGGGCTGTTTACACGACATCGTTTTCAACTAAAAATGTACAAACTTTTTATGCGTTTTGGCCGTTCGTTTACACGACAACAGTGTTTTGGGTGTCTGAAAACGCAAACCTTTGAAAACGGTCTCCGTGTAAACAACAAAAAAACGAGAATGTCTGAAGACGATGACGTCATGCACATGCGTATTACGTGTTCAGTCTATAGTGTTTCATCGCCATCTAATGGCCTGGCAGCAGAATACAACGTTTTTAGCCGTTTTGGGGATCCGTGTGAATGGGGATCGCTTTGACAATGGTGTCGTCTGTACAAGGAAAAACTTGTCAGTTTTAAGCATATCGTTGTCGTGTAAACGTACCCTTAGTTAATATTAATTTAAACATTCACTAATACATTATTAAAATCAAAAGTTGCACCAGTTAATATTATTTAATCGACCTGAACTAACATGAACTAAATAATAAATAGTTGTACTTTTATCAATTACGGTGAACAAAGATTAAATATAGCTGCAAGCAGCGATGATGGGCCCAAACCCAGGTGCAACTGTCCCCCCGGTGGCTTTAGGGCAACTGTGCACGACGTGCAATATGAATTTAAACCCGTTAAATGTAAAAGTCAAAGATTTATAAATATTGTAACAAATGCGTTGTTTATTGTTAGGTAATGCATTAATGGGACTAATGGGACCTTATTGTTAACTGTTACCCCGTACTCCAATTTAAGATTTTTGTTTTATTTAAAAAATCTTTTTTTTCAATGTAAAGGTGTATGTGTCAAGATTTTCAGTGAATAATTACTTAAATTTCAATCTGTTCCTTAGACAAAGTAAGCATAGCTTTAGTCCTTAATCAGTTTGATGACACTGAAAAAGAGTGTCCAGGATATTCTTTCAAAAATCACTTTTTGTCTAACTAGGAGAAATAAAAATTTATACGGGTTTGGAACAACATGAAAGTGACTAAATAATGACAGAATGACACAGTAATTGACCCAGTACTCACCAACCATGTGTTTCCGGACATGTGCCATGGTGTAGAATTTCTTTTCACAGATTTCACAAGAGAACTTCTTCTCGGCATATCCGTGGACAATCTTGTTGTGTTCATGTAAAGACCACAGCTTTTTAAAGGCTTTTCCACAAGTCACGCACTACAAAAGATCAGAGGATCTGAATGAACGGCATTAGACTAAACAGCTTTCCCTTAGGGTTTGATGGAAAACATAACAGGATTTTATTATTCTGAGAGAGAACCAAGAACTGCACAAGCTAAATAAAGATTGAATATTGCAAAGGGCACCTCTAACTTAAAATTCATTTATACCAAATTAAACACAACAGCACAATTTCCTTAATTACACTGAATTCCCCGTAAGTGCTTATTAGCAGAGACAAATGGGTGCTGGATGTTTTAGACCCAGTTTGAGTTGGAGGTGGAAATGGCCTGGCAGACCTGCTTTAATGGCAGAAAACAGCTGTTCTCCGCACCCTAATACAGTCTGTGCCTATATATCATCCCAACTCTCTGGTTTATCATTCTGCTCTGCATTATGCACTCATAGCAGAGTACAGAAGAGAATGCACATAATCCATCTTTAAACATGATAAAATGTGTTATAAGAAGCTGACAGGTCTATACTATTTTTGGTGGATAAAAACTAGGTGTACACCGACAAACTGACAAATAGATAATTATTTTCATGTTATGACCATGTTATAATCAATAAATAAATGGTTGATATTAAAATTCTACACTATTTTTTTCTAAATAAAATAAAAAATAATCAGTAATAACTCAAAAATTGAATTTAGGCATCACAGCATTATAATTTACAGTACGAAAGATTAATATTCATTTTGATTATTGCTAAAAATTGCATTTAACAGTGTTAATAAATTCTTAGTGTTTTAAATGATTAACTTGAAGTGAGCATTAGATGATGGTGATCTACATCTAAAAATACATTTAGGAAATAGTACGTTTTTTTGTCTCTTATACTCATCAAGGCTGAATTTATTTGATTAAAAATATGCTAAAACAGTAATATTGTGAAATATTATTACAATCAAAAATAACTTTTTTTCTATTGTAATACAGTATATTTTAAAATGTAAAATGTGAAGGAAAAATTTAATTTTCAGCAGTCGTTACTCGAGTCTTCAAGGGATATTTCACCCAAAATGTAAATTTTGTCATTACTTACCTTCATGTTGTTCCAAACCTGTATGAGTTTCATTCTTCTGTTGAACACAAAAGAAGATCTTTTAAAGAATGTTGGTAACCAGACAGTTGACGGCACCCATTAACTTCCATAGTAGGAAAATAAATACTATGGAAGTCAATAGCTACAGTCAACTGTCTGGTTACCAACATTCTTTAAAACAGTGGTTCTCAACCTCTCCTGCAGGGACCTCCTGGCAGGCCATATTTTTGTTTTATCCCTGAAATGGCACACCTTATTAATTAAAGGCTCAAAGGCTTAATGTGTAGCTGACTAATTGAATCAGGTGTGCCATTTCAGGTTGAAAACAAAAACATGTCCTGTTGGGGCTCCCTGCAGGAGAAGGTTGAGAAGCACTGCTTTAAAATATCTTCTTTTGTGTTCAACAGAAGGAAGAAACTCATACAGGTTTGGAACAACATGAGGGGCAAGTAAATCATGACAGAATTTAAATTTTTGGGTCAAATATCCCTTTCAGTCTCACATGATCCTTCATTCTAATTTGCTGATTTGCTGCTCAAGAATTGCCCTTATAGATCGACCTTGTTAACATGTGCATGCAGACGGGTGTGTGTACCTGTATGTTTTTCTCACAGTTTGTCTGATGGTGTAGCAGCAACTCGCTCTCCAGTAAAAAGCGCTTGCCGCATTTATTGCAGATCTGCATGCGGTTGTGTGTGACGTTCATGTGCTTCTCCAAGTACCAGCGGTTGTTAAAAACACGAGGGCACTTCTTGCAGGAAAAGTGCTGCTTTTCTTCGAGCTTCACCTTCTGCCCCAGACTCTCCTGCTCTCTTCTCCTCTTCCTCCCCTCCCCTAGTGTGGAGTCGATTAGTGTCTGTCTCATGGCGGCATCTGTGCCAGTTAGTATTCTTGTGGCACGCCGTCTTCCCATGCTGGTGTGTCCTGTTTCTGGAATGTTGAGCTTGTTCTCTTCCTCATCCTCATCTTCCTCATCATCACTGCAATTTTCCATCTCTTCCTTTCCTTGTTCATATTCTTCTTTGTCCTCGTCAACATCTTCATTATCAGACTGTTCCTTCCCCTCCTCCGCATCGGGAGGACTAGTGCGACGGTGAACACGGAGGGATGAGGTACTTGAGGTGATGCCCTTTCCGTCTGACCCTTTAGAAACATTCAATGTCTGGTTATTAAGATTGACCTCCACAATAATCTGCTCTCTGTTAAAAGAGACAGAACCATCCTGGGCTCCCGCTTCATTGAAACAGGCCCCTCCCTCCATTTTGCACAAGCCCCGCCCTCCTCCACAAGCCACTCCCCCTCTGCTGTCATCATTTTTGTAGAAGTGTTTTGCCTGAGGGCTGGAGTGGATGCTAGATGAATGTGTCTGGGTAATTTCCCTACTGACCCCACTATCCTCTACAAGGAATGAGAAAGTACCATTTCCTTGCTGTGTGTACATCTTCTCAATCTCCTTCATCTTGTACATCTGATTGGACGAGGCCGTGCCCTGCCCGTCTGTGTCAGCCATCTCATTGGAGCCGAGTAGTTTGTGGCAGGAATCACTCATCTGGAGCACAATGGCCACTTGTAGCACTCCAAAGATGGAGATATAGATAAGGTTGAGGATCTGGATGCTCAGCACCTCAAAGGCCAGGTTTATGCAGTGCAGTGGTTGACTCTGGGAGAGGAGGGCCTGGAAGTTCGGTCTGTGTTCATCCAGCACGCACTTGTGGGCGGAAAATGTACAACGGGACACCAGTACAAGGTCCACGTCGCACAGGGGAGGCTGGTAGAGATGCCGTTCGTTCAACCTGTCCATTAAACGAGTAAAGTGCAGCACTGCATCCTCCAGCAGAAAGAACTTGGCAGAGGGGAAGTCAGCAGTCCACTGTGAGATAAGACAGGAAAACATTTTAATCTTACAATTCCTTAGCAAATTATTTACAAATAATAAGATCATAAACGGCACAATTATATCCACTTGGAAAACAGAACAAGAATACACATTTTAGATCTAGATTTGCATTTCTAGAGCAAAGCACCAAATGCAGTAAATGCAACAAGCAAATATTGCATGTATCATGACATAATTATTTGAACGGGGTTTTATTTGGCCATTACATTTTTTGAACACGGTATCATTTTCACTTTCACTATTAAATTCACAATCCTTCCTTGTCTCAAACCTTGTGTTAAGATGAGAAGTATTAATAGTGGCTGTGATTTAACGATTTAGTGATTTAAACTTGATTCAGTTAATCAGTTCAAACAGTCTGATTCATAGGCATTTGATTCATTGTGCCACCATTATTTATATATATATTTATCTATAGTATATTATAGTATGCTATTTATTTATATATTAAATAAGTTTTTTTTCAGTTTTCATTTAAAAATTTGTTTAAGATTTAGTAGTTTTGTTATGTGCTTTTGTCAAAAAAACAAACAAACAAACAATATATATATATATATATATATATATATTGTTTGTTTGTTTTTTGTATATGTATATATATATATTTCAGTTAGTTGCCAAGGCAAAGTTTCTAATTTTCATTTAATTTTTCATCTAATATTTACATTTTATTTAAGCTTTTTTTTTTAATTAACAAAAATATTTTTTAATAGTTTTACTTAACGATAACATTAAACTTTATAAAACATTAAAGGTTTACATTAAATGATCTGTTAAAAATATAGGGCAATATTGCTGTTTATTACTATGCCTGGTTATATTGGTGCATGTAAGTGAAAATGATTAAATGTAGTTCCTTGTTTTTATTAAACTAATTTTGAGAAAATCATGCTTGATTTTTGTTAACTAGATTGTTTTCTGTATTTTATTATTGAATTAATTTAGTTTGTACTTGGTATCTACTTGGTAAAAGAAGGTGGTTTGGTTGAAATGGTTTCCTCTGATGGAATTAAGACGTTTCAGAGCAAGATATTGTTGTCTAAAAAGTGAAAATATATATGTTATCTATAATGTCAATAACTATTATTAAAGTAACACTGTATAAAGGTTGACCAAAACATCAGGACATGTAAAAATTAATTTTTGCACAGAACTGATTTCATTCACAGCGGCCTTGAAAACATTATCAAACAAAGTCCATCTGAGAGTGAGAAAGGTAGGATCTAATGGAGCCTGCAGATATGCCCTCCCCTTCTGCTCCCAAGGTTGGTTTATTTTAGATCAGGAAGGACAAGGTTTCGATCTGGACAGCATCTCTTTAAAAACTCCACAGAGGGAAAGGAAAGGGACAAAGGGAGAGGCAGCAAGCAAAAAGAGAAAAGGGAAAACCAACTGAAAGGAGAGAATTAGAAGTATGTAAAAAAGCAAATTGCTATTCAGAGCTGTGCGCTAAACATTAGCTTCCTCCTCCTGGATCCAGTCTCTCGGAATTATTATGCACAAGACAAAACTCTGGCCAGTAAACAATTAAAGAGAGCAGGGAGAGTAAATATCAAACTCTCCAAACAATTATACAGATTGGTTACGCTGACTTTTATGTGACTACAACAAGTGGAATTAAGAGTGTTACTTTTTATCTCCGTAAACAGGATTAGATTCTTTTCAGGAGGCCATTAAGTCCAATCAATCACTATGTCATAATTAAATGTCACCCACAAATACACCCAATTGACAGCATAAACTCTTATTTACAATACAACAATATTTATCCTCATATGTGGTCACCGTGACCAAACCATTACACGTAAACTAATGTCTAAAATCATTCTGGAAACAGCTGGCTGCACCAAACTGACGTATTTGCGTGGTCTACACAGTGCAACAGTCGGGTTCAGGAAGTAAAAACATTATTTTTCTCCACAGGGAAATTGATTTTTTAACGATAACTTATAAACCTTTAAAGACAGGTTGAAGCCATTAGTCTGCATAATTTCAACTTAGTTTTAAAAGAATCGTGTTTAACAGCTGAGTTTGTGGTGAAAAACATTACCCATGATTCTGTACAGAAAATCCCACCAATCAGAGAGTCGAAAGAAGCAAAAAAAGATTTGTCGCAATATATACAGTATATGTAGATCAACTTTAAATTATTAGTTTTATATTTCTCCATCGTATTTAGTTTGATTATGATGTTCGATATGCTTCACTGGATATACAGTTTTGTACCTTTGTATTTTTGTTACATTTGTAACTTTTTTTTCTTAAAATCAAAGTTTGTAAAGTTGTGATTCACCTCGTAGCTGGTTGGCTTGGTTTATGGCTTACAATGCTTTAACAAATACTTTTTTGAAATCCCTATGGGAGAAATTAATGGAATCAACGCCGCTGAAAATGTGGGATGGCACAACATTTTATAGTCCAGAACAAGTGGAAATATAATGTGATTCGATAATGAGGAAGATATGACTAACTGACTAAAAAGTTCAAATGTAATTCCATAAGCACTATTCTTTTCTCTGGAATATTTTGTGAATCTTTGTATATTTATGGTGGATGATCACTGGGGGATGGAGTAAAACCCCACAGCTAGCTAAACAGAAAACACAAGTCAAGAAACCTAGTTCTGAAGCATTCATGCTGTTCATTTGAATAAATAAAATTCTTTAGCGCCACCAGGAATAATTGGACATAGATAAGGGGTTGTTATTCCAAAACAATACCAAGTCAGCTGTATCAAATTCAAAACTGGCAACATGAAACATCTCTGAAAGACATTAAATTAGTCTGAGCCATTGCACAGTGGTTAGTGAGTGTTCACATAGTGCATATCTTCCTCTCTCTCTCTCTCTCTCTCTCTCTCTCTCTCTCTCTCTCTCTCTCTCTCTCTCTCTCTCTCTCTCTCTCTCTCTCTCTCTCTCTCTCTCTCTCTCTCTCTCTCTCTCTCTCTCTCTCTCTCTCTCTCTCTCTCTCTCTCTCTCTCTCTCTCTCTCTCTCTCTCCTCAAGAATTTCCTGCCCCTCTCTACTACAACTATGGAATAAAAAGTGTCAAAATCCACAATTATAAACTGATGTGAACATATGACAAAATATTCTCTTCAGTATAGTTTTAGCAATTTAAGAAAAGTTATACTCAAGGTTTAAAAATTGAGTATATGTCAACATTAAATCATGTTCACTGACTTAAACAAGAGTACAAACAAATATCTTAGATGTAGGAATTCAAAGATTTAAGCAATCTTTTTCAAAATTGATAAACTGATAATTGTTTTCCCATTATGGCTGATAACTGATAAGTTACAATTCCATATATTTAGTCAAAATAAAAAAATAAAATAAAAAGAAAGTAAAAACTAAACTCAATTATTGTTTTTAAAAGAAGTCTCTTAAGCTCACCAAGGCATCATGTATTTAATAAAAAAAATACAGTAAAAACATATTGTAAAATATAAATAAAAATTTTTTAAAACTATTTTAATATATTTTAAAATGTAATTTATTCCTGTGATAACAAAGCTGAATTTCAATCATCATTACATGATCCTTTAGAAATCATTATAATATGCTGATTTGGTGCTCAAGAAAGATTTTTTTTTTATTGTTAAACATTTGTGCTGCTTAATATTTTTTTGGAAACCATGAAACATTCTTTGATTAAAAAGAACGTTCAAAAGAACAGCATTTATTTGAAACATTACTCTTTTGTAACATTAGAAATGTCTTTATCCTCCCTTTTGATAAATTGTATGCGTTATTGCTGAATAAAAGTATATAAAAAAAAATCTTAATGACCCTAATCTTTAAACGGTAGTGTATATTAAATGCTACAAGTAAATTTAGGCATCACAAGATTATAATGTATAGTATGAAAAATTGTTGATTTGCTCAACATTTATCCTTGTTAATGCACTATAATTAGTGTTTTTAAAGATTATATCGATATCGACTGATACCTATACATATAGATACAGACAGTCATATAAAGTGTGACCAACCTCTCATCACACACAAGTCTGAATTTTGGGTCGGCTACTATATGTCACTCACCCGACACCGTAGTTTGCCAGCTCACTAATACTCCTGCAACAAGACCTTGACCAAACCTGGTTAAACAGACCTGTCATTAGCAGCAACATGGGTTGTGTAATGCTTTTCAATGTGGTTTATATAGCTGAGCTCATTGCTGTGCAGAAACCTGTACTGCCTTCACGCAGTAAGAAGTAACTCAGGGCTTCTGGCCAGGCCGGCCGGTATGCAGTTGGCTGAGGACGATCACCACAGTGCCAGGCAGCAGAGAGCAGAGCGGTGGGGGAACGAGATCTACCCTCAGTTGACTTTCACTTCTGCAGTCTTTCCTGCACTGTTTACCACAACTCCCAAAATGAAGACTACCGTTTCTGCTGATATGTCTTTATAGAGATTTTAAATGTCCCTTTACTTTAAAAAAATGGTTAGATGGAGAGCAAGAAAGAAAATTCTATTCTGAAAAATAAAGATATATCACAAATTCTACAAAAAATATGAAGCAGCACAACCTTTACCAACAAAATGTTTCTTGAGCACCAAAATCAGCATTTGATTTCTGAAGGATCATGTGACACTGAAGACTGGAGTAATGATGCTGAGAATTCAGCTTTGCCATCACAGGAATACTGTGAATGAATACCCAAACTTGTGAACAGTACTTTATATATTGCTTCATTTAATAATCTATTGGATTTAATTTCTACTCATTTCATTTGGTTAATTATTTAATTATTTCTATGGACTTAAAGCAGCACTAGGTTACTTTTCAACCTTCATAATATATTTCCAAGTCTCTTGTGATGGTACATCGACTTACAATAGGTTGATTGACACGTCTGCCATAGCCTGACGGGGTCTGTAGCGTTTTTAATCGTACTTTTAAACTTCGGGTTTCGGGTAGTAACCGGCGAACAAAGAGAACTACAAAACTCGACTGCTTTACGGCATA